CTTTATTTATTTGTTTTTTTTTTTTTTTTTTTTTTTTTTTGAGACAGAGTTTCACTGTATCGCCCTTGGTAGAGTGCCGTGGCATCACAGCTCACAGCACCCTCAAACTCTTGGGCTCAAGCAATTCTCTTGCCTCAGCCTCCCAAGTAGCTGGGACTACAGGTGCCCACCACAAAGCCTGGCTATTTTTTTGTTGTAGTTGTCATTGTTTGGCAGCCCCGGGCCCAGCTTGAACCCACCAGCCTCGGTGTATGTGGCTGGCGCCCATGCTGCTGAGCTGCAGGTGCCGAGCCTCTACATTGCTTCTGATCTTGACCAGATTATTGTCACAGCTTCTTACGTAGTAGCCCTGCATCCGGTTTGACAATGCCTCATTCAGTATTCAATCTCCTGTTTTGTAGACTTTCCAAAATACAAATATGATGCCATATTGAATTACGCTTACCCAAGTGCAAAGGGTATTTCTTACCTCCATAAACTTTAAAGACACTATGACCTCTGTCTGGAAGGCCCTTCTTGCTTTCTTTGCCTTCTCCATCTGATTCATTCTTCAAGACCAGACGTCCTCAAACTACGGCCCGCGGGCCACATGTGGCTGGCCTAGGACGTGTATCCGGCCCGCCAGGTGTTTTTGCAGCCGCTGCCTGTCCTGCTTAGCAGCCAACTCGTCCCGGGGCCCGCAGTCTAGCCCTCCAAAAGTTTGAGGGACAGTGAACTGGCCCCCTGCTTAAAAAGTTTGAGGACCCCTGTAAGACTCACTATATAGCCTCATTACCTCCCCATCTTTCCTTTCTCAGGACTGATAAGGCAACCCTTCTCCCACTTCTGTTAAATTGCAATTGCTTTTTCCTTGTCTCCTACCCTCCCTAGACTACGTGTAAGTCCCTTGAGAAGAGTAACTATATTTTATCCCAGCATCTAAGGTGGATTTTCTACTCATACTATCTCATTAGCTTATTTCACAGATGTGAAAATACTGATTTCTCTTCCTTAAATGTCTTGCCTCTAATACTTACCCCTTCATTAGTAAATTTCCAGAAGTTCCAAACATGATTTTAATAAACAAATCATTTATGTTTAGCTTTGTAATCATTTATATTTAATACAAATTATAGATTTTCATACAATCCTTTCTGACTAATCTTTACTAATTTTATGATCAGAATAAGTATCATGGCTCGGCGCCTATAGCTCAACCGGCTAAGGTGCCAGCCACGTACACCTAAGGTGGCGGGTT